ACGGTCAGGAAGGGCATGCTGCACGGTCGTGGACGCGGCCGCATGGTCAGGGACACGGCCGCACGGTCAGAGACACGGTCGCACGGTCAAGGACACGGCTGCGCGGCCAGGGGCACGGCTGCATGGTCAGAGACACGGTCGCACGGTCAGGGACACGGCTGCGCGATCAGGGACACGGCTGCACGGTGAGGGACACGGCCGCACGGTCAGGAACACGGCTGCACGGTCAGGGGCACGGCTGCACCATCGTGGACACGGAGGCACGGTCGGACACGGCTGCACGGTCAGGGACACAGCCGCACGGTCATGGACACGGCTGCACGGTCAGGGGTACGGTCGCACGGTCAGGGACACGCCTGCACGGTCGGGGACACGGCCGCACGGTCAAGGACACGGCCGCACGGTCAGGGACACGGCCGCACAGTCAGGGACACGGCCGCACGGTCACGGACACGGCGACACGGTCGGAGACACGGCTGCACGGTCGGGGACACGGCTTCGCGGTCAGAGACACGGCTGCACGGTCGCAGACACGGCGGCACGGTCAGGGACACGGCTGCACGGTCGAGGACACGGCTTCACGGTCAGAGACACGGCTGCACGGTCGCGAACACGGCGGCAGGCCTCGGAGACACGGCTGACGACCAGGGGCACGGCTGCACCATCGTGGACACGGCGGCACGGTCAGACACGGCGGCACGGTCAGGGACACAGCCGCACGGTCAGGGACACGGCTGATGGTTAGGGACACGGGTGCGCGGTCACAGACACGGCGCACGGTCAGAGAAACGGCTTCACGGTCAGGGACACGGCTTCACGATCAGGGACACGGCTGCACGGTCGGGAACACTGCTTCACGGTCAGGGACACGGCTGCACGATCAGAGACACGGCTGCACGGTCGGGGACCGGCGGCACGGTCGGGGACACGGCTTCACGGTCAGGGACACGGCTGCACGATCAGGGACACGGCTGCACGGTCGGGGACACGGCGGCACGGTCAGGGACACGGCAGCAAGGTCGGAGACACGGTCGCACGGTCAGGGGTACAGCTGCACGGTCGGGGACACGGTCTCACGGTCTGGGACATGGCGGCACTGTCGGGGACACGGCTGCACGGTCAGGGACACGGCTGCACGGTCAGGGACACGGCGGCACGGTCAGGGACACGTCGCATGGCCAGTGACACGGCTGCACGGTCAGGGACACGGCTGCACGGTCAGACACGGCTGCATGGTCGGGGACATGGCCGCACGGTCGGGGATACGGTCGCACGGTCAGGGACACGGCTGCACGGTCGGGGACACGGCGACACGGCGACACGGACGCGGCAGGGCGTGTCTCACCTGCACAAGCTCCTCGCTGGGTGAGTGAAGCTGCGTGACGAGAGCGCGCATGAAGCGACGCTCGCCCGCACAGCAACGCCTTGCTCGTGCCGTCGCCGAACGTCAGGTGGTGAGCGCCATGCTGGCGAACCTGCCGCCCGCCCGGCCAGTCGTCAGACACGGAGCCCTGCCGGCCAGTCGTCAGACGCGCGCCCGCCGGCCGGTCGTCAGAAGCGGCGCCCGCCGACCGGTCGTCAGACGCGGCGCCCGCCGGCCAGTCGTCGGACGCGGCGCCCGCCGGCCAGTCGTCAGACGCGGCGCCCGCCGGCCGGTCGTCAGAAGCGCGCCCGCCGGCCAGTCGTGGTCGTCAGACGCGGCGCCCGCCGGGCCGGGTCGTGCAGACGACGGCGCCCGCCGGCCAGTCGTCAGACGCGGCGCCCGCCGGCCAGTTCGTCCAGACGCGGCGCCCGCCGGCCAGTCGTCAGACGCGGCGCCCGCCGGCCCGGTCGCTGGTCGTCAGACGCGGCGCCCGCCGGCCGGTCGTCAGACGCGGCGCCCGCCGGCCAGTCGTCACGGTCGCATGGCCCGCCGCCAGTCGTCAGACGCGGCGCCCGCCGGCCGGTCATCAGAAGCGGCGCCCGCCGGCTAGTCGTCAGACGCGGCGCCCGCCGGCCAGTCGTCAGACGCGGCGCCCGCCGGCCGGTCGTCAGGACGCAGGCGCCCGCCGGACGGTCATCAGACGCGGCGCCCGCCGGCTAGTCGTCAGACGCGGCGCCCCGCCGGCCAGTTCGTCAGACGCGGCGCCCGCCGGCCGGTCGTCAGACGCGGCGCCCGCGGCCGGTCGTCAGACCACGCGCCCGCCGGCCGGTCGTCAGACGCGGCGCCAACCGGCCAGTCGTCGGACGCGGCGCCCCGCCGGCCGTCTCAGACGCGGTGCCCGCCTGGTCAGTTGTCAGACGCGGCGCCCGCCGGCCGGTCGTCAGACGCGGCGCCCGCCGGCCGGTCGTCAGACCGGCGCCCGCTGGTCTGTAGCGAGTTGCCCGCCGGCCGGTCGTCAGACGCGGCGCCCGCCGGCCGTGACCCAGCGGACGCGCGGCCCCAGTGATCGTCCATGCCAACGACACAGCGCTAAAGCTCATACACAGTTTACACGTCCGCACGCATTCACACAGGCCAACACAGCACAATACAACGCCCCAGAGCCTGGGCCGCGGGGTTGCCTCAGGCCGCCCTTGCCCCCACCACTTACACTCGTCGCAGTGTCGAGCACAGCCCACAATGGCCCGCCATTGCTGAGCCGGCGCCTGACCTGCGCGTGTTATCCCCACCGTGGACACTGTCAAGCCTGAGCCGGGTGTGTGGCCCGGGGCCGGGGGCTGACTGCGGTGGTGCCGCCGGCCGGGTGAGTGTCATGCCCGGGGCTGGCGGCTGACCCGCGGGTGGTGCCGCCGGACCGGGTGAGTGTCAGGCCCGGGGCCGGGGCTGACCCTGCCGGGTGGTGCCGCCGGCCGGGTGAGTGTGTGTGGCCCGGGGCTGGCGGCTGACCCGCGGGTGGTGCCGCAGGCCGGGTGAGTGTCAGGCCCGGGGCCGGCGGCTGACCTGCGGGTGGTGCCGCAGGCCGGGTGAGTGTGTGTGGCACGGGGCCGGCGGCTGACCTGCGGGTGGTGCCGCAGGCCGGGTGAGTGTGAGGCCCGGGGCGGCGGCTGACCTGCGGATGGTGCCGCAGGCCGGGTGAGTGTGTGGCCCGGGGCTGGCGCTGACCCACGGGTGGTGCAGCAGGCCGGGTGGAGTGTGTGGCCCGGGGCCGGCCGGCTGACCTGCGGGTGGTGCCGCAGGCGGGTGAGTGTGTGTGGCCCGGGGCCGGCGGCTGACCTGCGGGTGGTGCCGCAGGCCGGGTGAGTGTGTGCCCGGGCTGGCGGCTGACCCGCAGGTGGTGCTGCAGGCCGGGTGAGTGTGTGTGGCCCGGGGCCGGCGGCTGACATGCGGGTGGTTGCCGCAGGCCGGGTGAGTGTGTGGCCCGGGGCCGGTTGGCTGACCTGCGGGTGGTGCCGCAGGGCCGGGTGAGTGTGAGGCCGGGGCCGGCGGCTCACCTGCGGGTGGTGTTGCAGGCCGGGTGGCCGGTGGCCGGGCCGTGCGTCTCGGTGCTCGGCCTGCACCAGCTCGGCCAGACTGTAGAGGCCGCCCAGCTGGCAGAGCGCGCTCCGCTGCTGTTCGTCGAACGACAGCTTGACCAACTCCACCACCGCCGCCACTGGGTGCTGATGCAGCGAGTCTGCCGGCCAGGAGGCAGCCGTCCGTGCCGTGCCGCGCAACACTGATATTTGATATAGAGTATTCATCACAACCGCTCTATCTGCACAGTGCTACTGCTTCTGGAGGTCCCCGGTCCAGCACGCATCATCACGCAAGACGCCGCATCCAGCAAGTACCATCACACAGAACGTCCCACCGAGGATGTACCATCACACAGGACGTCCCACAGAGCACGTACCATCACACGAGACGTCCCATCGAGCACATACCATCACACAGAACGTCCCACCGAGCACGTACCCATCACACTGGGCGTCCCACCGAGCACATACCATCACACTGGGCGTCCCACCGAGCGCGTGTCACCACACAGAACGTCCCACCAAGCGCGTGCCATGACGCAGGACGTCCTACCGAGCGTGTGCCATCACACGGGACATCCAAACCGGGCACGTGCCACGACGCAGGACGTCCCACCGAGCGCGTGCCATGCCGCAGGACGTCCCACCGGGCACATACCGTCCAGCAGCACCGGCTGGTCCTGTTCGTCGGCGCGCTGCCACAGGCTCTCGGTGAAGTCGCGCAGCTGCTCCAGCAGGCGCAGCAAGGCGGGGCCTCGCGGCGCGCGCGGCGGCCGTCCGGCTGCGCGCGCACCAGGTTGTGCAGCGCCCGCGCGGCTGCGGCGCGCACCTGGCGACGGCGCGCAGCACGGTCAGGGGGCGGGGGTGGGGGGGTGGCGGCTCGGCACCACCGGCTCTCTGACCGGCGGACACGAGCGACCGGCTTCTGCAGTGTCCACGGCGCCGAGATAAAGCTTGTCTAGCGCGGAGCTGCGTTGGCATGACAACACATTTGGAGCTGTGCACTGAAGCGCAGCAGTACGGAGAGCCAACACGTATCATACGAGTAGGCCAACTTGACGCTTAAATGGCCACAGAAAATTCAGGAGCATCAGTCCTCTAAAACATCACTTGTTTAACACGCATCCAATGTCACTATTAGTCACCGGCACGCTCGTCATTAACAGACGTGATCACCGCGGGTGTTAGTGTCTTGTGTTCCCAACCTGTCTGTGTGGCCGGCGGGCGCCAGCGCCGGCGGCCGACTGCGGGCAGTGGATCAGCTGATCCAGGGCCGGCAGGCAGCCGGCGCGCCGCAGCGCCGCGCAGCTCTCCGTGCTGGACGTCATGGTCAGCAGCGTGCTGCTGACCAGCTGGTGGTCGGCCGAGCGCAGCAGCTGCAGCAGCGAGAGCACCAGCTCGGCCCGGCCGCCGCCGCTGGCCGCCAGCTGCTGGCCCAGGAGCCGGCGTCAGCGCCAGCGGGACGCCTCCCTCCCTTCCTCCCGACCCCGGCCACGGTTCGATGATGAAGGCCTGACGCCGCACCACGGCGGGGACCCTGGCCCGGCGCCCGACAGCGACGCATCGGAAAGCGACGCTTGCATTTCCACACCAAACTAGAGCTGACATATCGACGGCATCTAGGTACGGCAGCGACCCCATCCGCACGTTCTTTCGACATCCCAACATATTGCCACCTCTGCCCCTTTCATCTGTATTGCTGGTTTTCCAGCGCCACCTCGGTGCCGAACAGCTGTTACCTGAGCCGGGCTCGACTGGGAGGAGGTTCTGGAGTCCGGCGGGTCACTGGTCCAGACAGCGCCGGCCGGCTGGCCAGGGCCCGCCGCGCGGTACAGACGGGGGGCGCCGTCACCGCTACCAGAGCTCTGCTCATCCGAGGACGACGACAGCGACTGTCGGAAGCCGAAGATGACGCTTAAGAGCGGTACACAACACCCAGCAGCCGCTGATAACATTCAGCAGCAGCACATGGCACTCAGCAGCCACAGAAGGCACTCAGCGGTGATGGCCTACACTCAGCAGCCGCAGATGGCACTCAGCGGTAATACCCTACACTCAGCAGCCACAGATGGCACTCAGCAGTGATGCCCTACACTCAGCAGCCACAGATGGCACTCAGCGGTAATGCCCCTACACTCAGCAGCCAACAGGTGGCACTCAGTGGTAATGCCCTACACTCAGCAGTCACAGATGGCACTCAGCAGTGATGCCCTACACTCAGCAGCCACAGATGGCACTCAGCGATGATGCCCTATACTCAGCAGCCACAGATGGCACTCAGCGGTGATGCCCTACACTCAGCAGCCCACAGATGGCACTCCACGGCCGGTGTCTAAGCTAATACACACAGTACAGCTCGATAGCACACCCCAATTTAATGGCGACAAACACAGCCCTCGCAGCCCTACCATACAGAGTACTCAGTAGCAGCTAAACAGCGAGCTAAGCATCGGCATGCGGACCAAGGACAGCTCATCCACAGTCAGGCACATCGCTCAAATAAAGGCTCAAACAACGAAAAAAAGACCAACATGTCCACACAACTGCACACACGAAACTTAAAACCGATATCACCATACTGTGAAATGAGGAGAGGCAGACCGTACTTATTGGTTAAACACTTACGCCGGAACAGCATATAAAAACCTGATAAATCCAATGGCAACGTTTACGTTTCTGACGGCTACTCACCATGGCATCCACCTGCTGACGAAGTCGCACTATTTCTCGATCGATCTGCTCCAGCCCGGTCTTGGTAGCCGCCTCGGACGCCGGCAGGGCCTGATTGTCGCTGGCACCGCCGTCCTGTCAGAGGGGGCCGGGGTCAGAGTCACGGACTCTCTGAAGGGTGAGGGTGTGGGCACAGCCGGCCGCCCAGTACTCACTCCCAGACTGCCGGCCAGGAGTTTGAGCACGGCAGGAACGTGCGTGCTGACCAGCCCAGTCCGAGAGGTGCCGGACGACAATCGTGTGATAGCGCTCTCCGGCCCAGGCCGGGCGACACAGCCGAAGCCAGGCCGCGGCCAGCTCACCTGGCCGGATTCGAGGCGGCGATCTTCTGCTGCAGAGCCGCCATCTGCTCGTAGAGCCAGCGCTTCTCCTCGTCCTCGGAGAGCGCTGTTCCGGCCATCGCCCTCCTGCGGGCAGGGCCGGAACGCCGCGTCACCAGACGTCGGTCAGCCGGCGGCGCGCCCGGGCACGCGACCACCGGCCGCGGCTCCACCCACCCACACCGTACCGGGCGTGTTTGATTTTTCAAATCTCAAAATCGTTTTGTTCAAACCATCTCTCTCGAATATGTTGTTTTTGACGAGGTTGTGTGAACGAACGGACGGTTGATAACGTGCAAATGTGGTCACGTTGTCGTCATGTTTAATATTCCATTCATACTACTGTTGTTATTGTATCGAATCAAACAGTACACCACTCGTTGGATAATTCGTTAATATAAGGAACTGAACTGAACTGAACTGAACACCAGGCGCCTGCCATGTCCGTTCGGCAGAGAGAGACGCTTGTTGACAATGGGCGATGTCCAGACGGCGGTGACGGAGGCTCTGAGGTCGGATCAGCAGAGCCCGGCTCACCGCCGCACGCCTTATAAGCAAACAACACGCTAGACGCACCAGCAGGTGGTCAAACTCAATGACAGCCCGCAGCATCGCATGACACGTTTTATAACGTCCTTCTGCGAGGGCAGCTGCCAGGAGAAACAGCCATTCAGACGGTGACGTTTTCACCTAGTTTCTAAGCCAAAGTCATTTTTAAATGCGGTTAAAACTGGTCACCCCACCGCGGCCACCTGCAGGTATTAGATCAACAAAGGCCAATCAACCCAACAGCTTCATTCATCAGCTGCCAACATGTAGTCAAGCAAACCACATATTTAGGAAGCTGGTCATCCTTCTCCTCTGCTCATGGCCATCACTGACAAACAATGTGAATACTGTACCTCTGGTCTTCCAGCCTGGCTATCTTTCTCATGATTGAGTTGCGGAGTGTCCTCTTGTTGCTGCCTGGAGTGTCTCCACAGTCATCTGGCAAGGCAAAACAACCGCTAGATCTAGCGAATGTGGTTTGCTCTTTAAATGACCTTCAAACTTTCAGAGCAATCATAAAACTGGAATACAATGTTCTGGCCCTCTCTACAACAGCATAACATCCTTGCACATCAGCAACTTTCCTGAACATACTGTGAATATTCTGAAGAAAAGCCATTCATAAAGGCTGCCTGACAAAAACATTTTCAATGTCTGAACTTGATTTGCCAGTGGGCATCAATACCATGGTATTCCATGAACATAGCACATAACATTAACTTTTGAATCCAAGCATACTTTTGGTAGTCATTGGCATGAAGGTTTCCATGCCTACTGACAGATTGGCACCCATTAGGATGCAAGTAAAATATACAAGTCAAAACAGAGTAGACCAAAGCAACAGCCTTTTGAGCACCAGAAAACAACAATCTATGGCTCACACCACACACCACTACATCTTACACTGAAGAAAATGCTAGCAAACTGTGTATTGTTCATGTGATGGCATAATATAAATGCTGATGATATCAGCCTCTTTTAAGTGGAGCCTAAGCAGCTAGAACAGATGCAAAGACAAGCTTAAAAAGTCATAAGGAAATCCAACAACCATCTGCTGCAACACTGCTTTCCAGACATGTCATCAGCCATGTTCCTAATATTCTGATATGACTATTTGATAGCTGAATAAGTCAGTCAATGGCTGCCTTACTGCACAATATTTAAATTAGACAAAATGGCATCACCACTTCATGTATCTGTAACAAGCAATCACAGTAATTCAGCCACACAACAGTCTTCATGGCCACTGCCAAGTCCTAAATTTGACAACTAACAAAATTGTGGGCTCCAAAAGAAAAAAAATGGCATATTTCCTTGACTCCATCTCAAGACTACATATGGTTTTTGGCATCACAAACCCCAAGGAGCATTTCCTATTGCCCACAGCTGACATATGTTGAAAGAAATGCATACTAACATGTTTCAGTACACACCATGTTGTGAACATGCAGTAAGTAGGGGTACAGACCTTGTCTGGAGGTGGTAGACTGCTCCAAGGCAGTAGCACTTGTATTGCCCAGTGTCTCTGTTTGCTCAGGCCTGTCTGATGAGTTCATGGCGAGCAACAGCAGCAACCATAGGTGAAAAAGGAATCTGCAAAAAGATAGCTGTCACTGAACCTATTGTTCCAAAATTGACTTGCTATAGGCTGTGCAGGTGCAGAAAAATTCAGCCTGACAACAATTATATGACATTCAAATGCACTTTTATTTTGCACCAATAGTCAAAAGGAATTTTTGTCTGGAGAAATATTGCAATAGAAGGTGAAAATAAGCCATTAAAAAAGGAGAGCCATGGTCTGGTAGCTAGATGCACAGGATCTCATGAAGGAAGTGAAAATGTGTATTTCTGTGTATCACTGTTAACCATATCCTTATTATCAACTTTAAAACAAAATGTAGTAGCATTTCACATGCATCCATGCTATACAATAGTGCCTACATATATATGAGTACATGATATTCTTCTGCATTCATGTGGTCACCACTTTTAAACTGTAGAATGCCTCACATGTGGTACAGCCAATAATCACATGACAAACTGCTCGGGGAATAATTTAAAGAACATTAGTAAGATTTAGAATCTTAGTAGCTGTACATGAAAATTATGTCCAAACTATGGAGGATTTCATGTAATGATAAAATGAAATGAATGTGATCTCAGGGTGATACAGATCAAATGAGTCAAATATTACAAAATATCCTTGAGAAATGATATCTCAGGGTTTGACAAACACCACATCATTTGTGATCAGTCTGTGATGCATGTCTTGATGATTAACAGTTAACACAGCCATGAGTACATTTTCAAAATGTACAAATATATCAACATAGAAATGTTGACATAGAACATTCTTGACATGGAAACTTGAGCTGGATTTGTAAAAATAAACTGATGGACATCACTGTTCCTGCATCACAAATAGCCATTGCCATGGCCATTGCAACTTTTGGATAGAGAGCAGCCACTGCACTTAAACTCTCACCAGACATATGCAATTTTAATGTCATCACTCATAAGTGATTATGGTGATTTATGCCTAACACTGTCAACTGGAAGACCCCACCAACTTTGTTTATTACAGTTGTGCAGACCTAGGATTGCAGTCAGAATTTACCACAGAGGTGAGGCTACCACGATTTGCGACAGAATGGGACGCAAATTTTTACGAGCGAGTTCCAGACCATCGACAATATCACTCACTACTAACAGACGAACACCCTTCCGTCGCTTATAGGTACAGTACCTAGCGCATCAATGAGCCATCGTTGTTGATTTGTCCTGGTGTTTCGATTGTTTCAGCTGCGTAACCTGTATATTCACTCGGCTATTCGCTACTCTTGTTCTAAACAACCAGAGCCCTGCTAGACAACGGCACGGGCTCCCTGAAATCAACTGCACCTAGTGCCCTCCTCTGATGATGCAGTTGCAGGAGCGCGTATTTTTGTATCCCAGTCGGATAACTTTTATTAACAAAATACCTCAAGATAAACCTGAGAGTTCTGGCTAGCCGGGATTTACCTGCAGTGCTGCCAGAATGCTACCAACCCGCATAGTGATAAATGCTACTAAATCCGAAGGCATCCAGTATGCATAAATAGTGCTATATAGTTGGTCTTTTTTAAAACTCTGAGGAATCAAAATTTCCAGGTAGGGCGCATATCTGGAGATAGAAAAACGGTGTGATGAATTGCGATGGACTGAAACAACATCATGCATGGTTGCATTCCCCGTGTGGAGGGGGAGGGCAGGTGCGCAGCCAGTGCCTTGGCAATGGGAAGCACAGGGTTGACAAAGGACTACCCGCTGATGGAACTCGCCAAAAAAATCGTTGGGTACAGTCCGTTTGCATGCATTAACGGTACAAGACAACCTTATCGCACAAAAATGACTTGCCTCTGCGCTTCAAACATGTTGAATGCAGTTGTTTAACACCCAACGGCAACTCGTACATGAGAGAAGTCACTCGGCACGCGAAGGACCGCTTCCTGTCGCCGTGCGCACCGCAGGGGGCGCAGGTTCTGGTCGTGCGGGTGGATCGGTCACTGGTTCGTGCGTTGAGGTGTGCTTGAAACAAACGGGCAAGATCCGCAGGTTCGCATTGCTTATGGGCTTTGAACACAGCGATTAATAGTTCGCAATTCACACATTTGGCGATGGCATTGCAAAGTGCAGGTCATCCCGCGTGCAAGAAACGTCATACTTTCGGAGGCCAGTAACTACACTGGAACGGAACTTAACTGCTTTCAAAAGTCTGGCTAGCAACAGCGACCCCTGGCCATAAACTGAAATACAGCATCTCACGTGCGAGATGACTAGATCCTGCACGGTGGTCAGCAGCACGATCGTGCAGGTCAAGATTGCTGCGTGAGACCGATGTAGGAGAAAACGTTTCAGGCGGCGGAGATCGATCAGGCTGCCGATGCATTTTTTCAAACTACATCAGTGACGTATGCATCCCAATTCAGGTGATGGTCAAATAGCACGCCCAAGTTTTTCCGGCCTAATTCGATAAGGGGAAGGAAGGTTGCGCTTAACATCGGATGTAAGGGTTCGAGTAGGGTCATCGTACTGGATCATATGGGCGTCTGGCGCGTGCAGGCTGAGGTCGTGGCGAAGATTATAAATAAAAGAGGACCAAGAGCTAATCCCTGGAAAACTCCTATGATGTTGGGGAGGGGCTAGGAGACCTTTCTGTCACCAAAAGAAGAAGGATGCAGACTGACTAGAAATGGAGAGAAAGATAGGGGAAGAACCAAGCGGTGTCAATGTCACAGACATGCAGCTTGGAAAGTAGTTGAGGAAGAGGAAGGACATCAAAACATTACTGAGATCCAAGAGGCCGCACGAGTGAAAGATGGCCTCATCCATGTTTGATATATATATATATATATATATATATATATATATATATATATATGCGGTTGGTCACCGGCGAGCAGAGCAGTCTGTGTGGAATGGACGGGAACGGGAACATGTTGGGATGAGGACAGAAGATGATTGTCAGACATGTATATAACACCTGCCTGCACTGCACCACAGGCTCGGACAATGGCGGCCATGATAGGGATGTTGGAAATAGGGCAGTAAATGAAATTCAGGGTTGGACCGCCGGATTTGAAAATAGGATGAACGGGGGTGGGCTTCCAGGAACCGGAAAGTTGGCAGAAGATGTGAGGCAGGGGTAATCTTATATGGAGGAGGACAGGGCCGATAAAGTATATATATATATATATATATATATATATATATATATATATATAAACAGAGGAGCGCAGAGTACAAATACAAACATCATCACGTCCACACCCCACAGAACGGCGTCATGGAGGGCATGACCTCGTGCAGCCCGCCCAGGGTCGTGCCAATCACCCGGAAACCAAAGCCCCACCCTGGGCGGGTGACGTGGGACGTCAGGTGGCTGTCCAAGACCGGTCAGGTTGGGTGCAACACGTGGGCCGACATTAACAAAATAAGCATTCATCTCGTCCGGGGAGGCGACAGTGAGATTGTGAACACCGCTCCCCCCCCCCCCCCCCCTCCCTAACAGCGGGCGGATAATGCGGTTACAGAGAACTGCTCCCCTGATCACGCAGCCTCTCCTCAATTTCAGCCCGGCAGTCACGCCTGATCGCCGACCTCACCCTCTGGTTCAGCTCGCGGAAAGCCGGCGATCTCCCTCGCGACGCAAACACGCCCCTCCGCCATGCCATGAGGTCAGGGGTCACCGGGCTGAAATGTTCAATTTTCAGTCAAAAGTCATTAGTGATACAAATTACGTAACGTAGTTTTGAGCATGCACGTTTGACGAAAGGTGGACGAAAATGATAACGCATTTGAAAGAAGTACGTTTGAACAACATCATATCGTGCCTTTAGAAGGTACTTCAGGCGGGTATTTCACCTGTGCAATTTTTAGACTGATGGTGAGAACGGATTGGGCTTTACAGCGCCGCGAATTAATGCCAGAATCTGATGTTCCTTAGAGGGATGCATCATTTCACGCTGTTCGTCTCCCTGATGCAGGGGGCCTTCTGACGCGCTTATTGGAACCCAGATCGAAGAACCCTCATTGACACAATAACATCCATGATCGCCGCAGGTGGTCCAATAACTGGCACATAGACTCAATTTGGTTTAGCGGGCACGTGTTGGAATTGTGTTGGAGGGCCCACCGTTCAGTACTAGGGGCCCTAACTGGCATAGGATCCTTCCATTGCCTCATTGTAAACAGCCATCATGAGTTCTCGTGCTTCCTTTCATTGTCAGAGAGCACCGACCAACGCAAGAGACCCTCTATCATTCGGGGTCCCGTCCTCGCCTCTGATGAATAATCTTCCGCTGCCCGACGTGAGGACCTTTGTTGACACAGAATACCCTGTTAGGCATTGTGGGCTTCTCAACGATACAGGTACATACAGGCCCCGTAGTATAGCAGGGACCCCAACCAGTGTAAATCGCGGGCCCGGCCGCGTCCCTGCTCGGGAAATGACCGGAGCTCAGACTGACACGGTGCCGACGATTCGGTGTTGGTAATCTCTGGCCGAAACAAAGGAACGCTCTGTCTCAGGGGTCCCCAATCACTCGGGGTGACAATTTCTGCAAATTATTGGGGAACCGAACCCAACCGAACCGAAGACCCGACATTCCCCCCCCCCCCCCATTTTTCCCACGGGATTTAGCCCACGTTAGTTTGATTAAACACAGTATATGTTTTAATCTTTGTGTAATTTATGTCTTTAATTTAAGCAGTATGGAAGTCATGCAGGGTTAGATCCAGACAGCAGGCACTGAACTCACGCATCTCTTCTGATCGGCACTTAAAGGCGCCCTTTTAGAGGCCACCTTAGGGCATCGATGGCACTCTTCTATGGCGGTCATTGGATGCGGCACGCATTTCGGTTGTGGGGGACGGGGACAAGGTTAGCCATGAAGGACTTAGGTCATCCCCATATTCCAGAGCTTTTCACTTTACCCGCACAAACCGAGACGCCACTACGCAGAAAGACCAAGAAAGATAGTATTTGCGATACGCTTATCTTTTACCCACCTTTTTGGTAATATTTCAGCTAAAAACATTGGGGCCAAACTAACATGACGGGGGGGGAGGGGGCGGGGCAACTCAACATTGAAGGGCCAGGGTCTCACAAAAGAATACAAATCGACACCCGTGGTGCAGAGGCCCTCTAACTGACATTCGAAATCACAGTCCCACGGGAGGGGGCCACTAATGTGACCTACAGTCAGCCCCCTTGGGCCGCTCAGCCAGCCTTTGGGACCTTCAGCCTTTCAATCGAGCCCTTGATCTTTGGTATAGAGAGACCCTTCGGCACCTCTTCGGGCCTCCTCAAACCCCGCTCCGACTCGGGGCCACTTGCCGCCACAGGATCCTGTTAGGCCCTGTTCCCCTTGACCGACAAAGGAGCCCCTCATTGTGACAAGGACCCCGAACATTGCAAATCGCGAGCCTCGGCTTCGCTCGTGGTTGGTACAGGGGTGTCAAGGGCTCAGGCGAACACGGAGCCGACTGTTGGCTTCGTGTCGAAGCTCTTTATAATAGGGATAGAGAAGACCAATAAGAGGGCCCCAACAGAAGTTCTCTGAGTGACATTTCTGGTCATAGGAATACAGATGGAGGGCCGGGCTCAAGTCCAATTGGACTGTTGATTTTGGGTCCCAAGCCCCTTTCGGCCCCTCTTCGGACCTCCTCAAACAAAGCCCGTGACCGATTAGGGGCCACTAGCCAACACATGACGCTTTGTCAAGCACTGTGCACCCCTGACGGACACAGGGACCCAAATACAGTTTCAGAGACACAGACCGATGCAAACAATAGCCCACGGCCTTGCTCGGGCTTGGAGAGTGGACGCCGTGGTCTAAATTGACAGGGAGCCAACTGTTCAGTGTTCGTGGGCTGCGGCCGACTGAGACACCCGAACTGTCTCAAGGGATTCTCAAACGGTACAAGGGGACCTCTAACTGATATTTTAGGTCACGACCCTACGGGCCGAGATTCTTTATATGACCTATAGCCAGTCCTTAGGGCCCTTACGCCCTCCAACCGGACCTTTGATAGTCGGCTCAGTTAGGCCGCCCAGACCCCTCTTCGGGCCTCATCGAACATTGCCCTTGGTCCGCTCGGGGCCCCTTGTGAGCACTGGACTCTCTGTTGGGCGCTGTGGCTTCTGACAGATACAAGGGCCCAACCAGTGTAAATCGCTGGCCCGGTTTTGTGACTCATCGGGCAGTGGTCCCTTAGGCCAATACCGACACGGAACCGACGGCACGGTAATGGTGGTGCCTGACCAACACATAGAATCATATCGACTT